ACGCTGTGGTGTTTACCATTTGTTAAATAAAGGAAATTAAATTTGAAAATTAATCCTGGCCTACCTCAATACGCCAAATCGCAAATTGTCTGTCTTTCTCAGCAACTCCTCTGTAACAAAACAACCGTTTCTTATTCAAGAGAAAGATGATGTTATTCAGTTAGTGAAACAGGCATACTCGGAGAAAGTTCTCCCAGCAGAGGGAGTCGAATCCACGACCTACTGATTAGTACTTCCTTTCAATCCACAATGAAATAAATATATTGAAGCCTGAGAATATTTCATCATCAGCCATTATATTTTCCAGTATCTCTTTTTTCCTTTTTTTTTTTATTCTGTAACTACAGTGGGGTCAGGTGTGGTATAATTCGCCGAATTTTAGTTTCTGACATTTTTCAACTAAGTTAAAGGAAGTTGTGGTTGATATAATGCGCATGTCCAAACATTACCTCTTGACGTCTTTGCATTCAACTGGGAGTATCTATGAAAGAAATTAATAAACAAAAAACATCAGTACCATCAAATTATAATTAGATGTAGCATCTTTACTTGCGTAAGATATTTGATTGAAAGTATAATCAGTGACAGTATGGTGAACTCATGGATATAATTTGCCGAATGTTAACTTCTCACTAAACGAGCGCAAGGGCCTATCAGGGGAACATCAGCCCGGGATCGCGGCAGTGCGGATCGAGTGTAGCGAGGTGAATAAGTGATTTGTCATATGGTACTCGGACCAAACTTATATTTATTTTGATTTCATATTTATTTTATATTTATTTATATTTATTTTTGTTTATATTTATTTTTATTTTATATTTATTTTTATTTTACAGGCTTTTGCGAGCAAAATACATGACATATGACCGTTTCCGTGGAAACGGTCTGTACGGCAAAAACAGAACGCATGAACCAACGAGAATTCATAGCAAATATACATCACCGGACTCAAGTATTGTCTACGTACGACTGGTTTTGGGCTTTCATGTGTGGCCGATTGGCTTTAATGCTGACGAGCGTTTGTTCCCGTAAACTAATCACAGAAACACATATGAATGTTTAAATATATTCTACCAACATTTGTGCCAAAGTCAAACCATAATTGTTCCAACCTTTAACTCCATGTCGATCTTATGTCTGGACGCATTCAGGAGACGTCTCTGATAATGAAACAACACAATGAAAATTTCATGAAAGAAAATGAGATAAGTAACAATATTTAGGGAACACTGATGATTCCTGGTTTTCAAGGGGGACAAAGAGAGGATCAGTCGTCGCCAACAAAGAATAAACACAGGGGGAGACTACAGAAAATTGACTGCTTAAGAGAGGGGAGGGGGGGTCATAAAAATACTTTACAGCCTTGTCGGGAGATCAGCAAAATTTTATCATGATCATGACACAATCAAAATCCGACGACTACCCCCCTCCCCTCCCTGGCTAGAAACAATCACCGGTCCCTTATGATGGCCATGCAGGGACGTCGATTTAAAAAGGATGATGATTTAAAAAAAAACAACAACAACAATAATAGAAAAAGCGGGTCATCTTTCCTTTTTATCTACATCAATATTTACTCTTTCAAATGACATAACCTGGCAAAACGAGGCTTGTTTTAAGATTAGAAAACTCGCTTACTTTTTGTTGCATTTCGCTCTCTCTTTCTAGAAGCTCTTTCATTGTTCTGTACAGGAATAAAAAAGTAAGCCAACTGCATTAATGACATGTATAGCTGTTCCTCAGAGATGACGAAGAAAACCTCAATGTATTTGTCATTCAGTTTGAAAAAAATTGTGCGATTTATCACCGTTCATAAAGTAGCTGGAATTCCTACGTTTCACTTTAACAACGAGGAAGGTTTTATTTTAGAATTGAAGCCCAACCACCGTCGCCAGAGAGCCTGATTATATTTACCTCTGTGCCTCAGTTTTCTTCTCCTACAAAAAGTACGAAATGATATTGTTAAAACTCTAAAATACAGCTGTTTAAAGAAGTCTCTACATGCAAAGGGCGTAAAACGGCCTTGACATTTTCTGAATTTTTTATGTTTGATATATTTTTACAACAGCTGTTGCGAAGGGAGGACTTTTAGACTCTCGGTATAAATTTTATCGCTAGAATAAATCTCTTTAGTAAACCCTGTGTTTTTGACGAAAGTTTTTTACTAAACTTTTTTTTCTCTTGAGAAGCTAATCTTTTGGAGAATTAATTAATGAATCCCTTCCAGGCTTCTTGCTGTGTGAGTTACGAATGTTTTCTGCATAGTGTTTTTGTAATTGATTCTCCTTTCAATGAAACCTCTCTGTTGGTCAGTCCCAAGTCAGTTACTCAATGACAGGCAGAAAAAAAGTTGAAACTTTATCCTCATTTCTACCGTCGTCTAAACGACATATCGCTAAGGCTGTAAAAATCTTTGAGCTTAAAGCATGTTGGAAGTGTATCACGTACCAAGACCGAGAAAAAAAAAAAGACAGTATGATTCTTTCGACCTCTATCATAATAATAAATGCACACCTTGAATTTCTGCTCAGCTACGAGACTGTTAGGGATTGCCACCTAAGAAATGAAAAAAAGGTGTGAGACAAACCGCTGCACATTATTTGGCTTCTCACTCAACTCGCTGTAATCAAATTGTGGCCTTTGTAATAAAGGGCTTCTAGATTCATGATGAATAGAAATAGCGTAATCACGCTCACCTCCTTGTCTTGAAGTTCCTTTGTTAATTCTGCAATCTGGCTGTAAAATAAAACGCAATAGTTAGTCGCCTTTGACACCAACGTGTGGATAGCTACACACTTATATGAGATATAATGAATATATGAGGTTCATATATTTGAACNCTAAGCCAAAATATCGACCGGGGAACATGGGGAAAGATCTTTGGCCGCAAGGATGGCGCTTTCGTTGGGTGCATAACTGACGAGGCTGCATCGATGTTGAAGGAGGCGAGGTTTTTATTGTGGTTGGTTCATGAAAAAGGATCAAAGAGCTTTTTCAACCACGTTAAAAAGACGTGGATGGGATTATTATATTTTCTGTTGTATTGGAAATTTCTGGAACAGTCGAAAAACTGGTCGCAAACCTCTCTAGGTCTTCCTTTAACTGATTCTTTTCCTGCAGACAAAAAGAAAAGAAGAACAACTTAAACAACGGTTGATTTTAATAGAAGGCTTCGATCACTAGACTCTTTTGCGCTCGTATCTTGTATTGATTGGTATCGAATTCACAGGAAACCGTACATTTACGGAAGGCAGCGTGGCCGAGTGCTCAGCGCGCGTCGGACTCGCAATCTGCTGCTCCTGGGTTCGAGTCCCGCTCTGACCACTCCCTGGAGTTGTTTCACGGTAGCTCCGAGTTCAAATCCTCGGTCATCCTTGTAAATAGCCAACTGGTTTGCCTCCGACCGGTTGGGATTCTTAACAATTTATGGTCAATTTGAATTATTTGTTTCTGTTGTTTATTGTGGGCCTCCTGGAAAGTAGCTTGTAGCTAAGTGTGGTGCCACATTAAATAAAGAATTACTTACTTACTTACTTACTTACTTACTTACTTACTTACTTACATAAAAACCCCAACCCTCTCCCCGATCTCCCCACATAAAAGAAGAAGTTAACTCAACTACTGTAACGCGCGTGAGCGACAATTACCTTTACCATCGTCGCGATGGTTCTTTGGGGAGAAGGAGAGATTGACCCAGTTCAGAAGCCCTCTACTTTGGCTCCTGTCTAGCTGTGCTAAGTTTTCGTTTTGCATCTTTTAAGTTTGTTTATGATAAGGTGGCAGAAGTCTTAAGAGCTGCCCAGAGGGGCTAACGACTGATTTTAAAACCGTATTGCAGCACAATAATCAAACCTTGAAATTCAAAAGTGACGATTCCTTCACAGTCATCAACTGGTTAATCTGTTTTTGAAAGGAAAAATATGCAGTAAACCAAATGATATCTGGTGAAACACACTGCGGGAGCACCTAGCCTGTGGCACGTCGCGTTAGAGAAAAACCGTGGGAGGTTTGGGTCAGTTTGGGTCGGGTCGGGTCGGGTCGGGTCGGGTCGGGTCGCGACGCAACCCCATCCCACCTCTCTTTTTTTTTTCGTTTTTTTTTTTTTTTACCTTTTTTGTCGTGTTTCAATTTACTCACTGAACGTCTGGAAAGGGCCAGGGGAGGGAGGGTATGAAATGGAGGGAAAAAAGCCTTTTTCTCCTCTGGAGAAAAAAATTGTAAACTTACTTCATTTCTGCAATTTGTTGCTTTCTCTGTGAGATTTTCAGCGGCGCTATGAAAGGAGAAAAGATTTGTAAAGTAAAGTTCGAGATCGTCAAAAATGATTTTTAATTGAACGCTGGCAAAGGGATATTAGGTGAAGCTAACAAGCAGAGAAGAAGAGAGGGAAAACTTCTGTTAAGCACAACTACACTTCGTGCATTACGATCTTCATTTCTTTTTAGAAAAAACTTTTCGTTCGCAATTATTCACCTGTAATAACCTAAAACAGTGTCAGCTCAAAATTAAAAGGGAGCTAAAAATTTAATAAAATTTGATAATTTAATTTAACGTTTTTAATAAAACAATTATTCCACTCGCGCTTGTTGGATATGAGATGATTATAGCCAACGAGGCGCGTAGCGTCGAGTAGGCTATCTATCATCTCATATCCAACGCGCGCTTGTGGAATAATTGTTAAATAGACCATTGACTGCCTGTGGGAGGGGGGTCTTCAGAATACTAAAGAGCCTTAGGGGGATCGGGTGGATTTTATTGTGACGCAACCAAAATCCCTCAAATTCTCCCCTCACACCAGATATACCGGTCCCTTTGTTTCTACCGAAATGGGCGTTAGCACCAAAAACATCGGCTTCTTCCTTGAAATAAGAGAAGCAAAAAATAGAGAAGAGTGATGACGATGGGACTTATTAGAGAAAGTACCGAGGAGCGAAAAACAACTGTAAAAGTTTGTCAGTACTCACCTTCTTAACTTTTTTATTTTGTTTACGTTCTCCTTCAATGGAAAAAAAGGAAGTTACAATAAAAAAGTTGATATGACGCTTTAAAGAATTTTTAGAATTCTAAAAATTACCAAAGTACCGTTTACTTACAGCATTGTCATAGTACTTCTCTTCTTTAATCCTGTTTTGATTACAAAGTCTAAGCATAAAGTAAAGATAACAATATTAGGGCAAACACAACAAACAACTAATTTAATTCTGCACCATTCGCCAATGATACCGGCGTGCTAGAAAACTATACTTCGGCAAAGATATCAAAAGAATCGAAAAGAGCATGGCTAGGTCTCCTCAAACACTCTCCCACGAATTTTCAATAAAAACAGCCATCTCTTTATGCACATCGCAGGTCTCTGGCATCATTTTCAAAGGCGGAGACAAATATCGCAGAATACAGTAGAGCTGGTACCCCCGCACTGCGCTACTCAAAAGGTAACTAGACTCACCTCAAATCTCTGCGCACGCCGCTGAATTAATGCCTTTCAAAGAATTACAGTCACCTCGCCACCAGGAAGATAGCCACCAGCGAGTTCGCCATCAAAATAATCTCGCTACCACAAAGATTACACTTTGGTAGCGAGATCGTTGGTGGAGAGTCTTCCTGGTGGCGAGGTGACTTCATACCCTTTCAAATGTGGCGTGTTTTGACTGTAAAGACTTCTACGAGCTTATTTCAATTTTTATCTACAGAAAGTCTGGCTCTAAACGTCTGTGTTTTACGAAAGATCTCTAAACACTTTGTCAATACGAAATGTTTTCAGTAAGTTAGTACCTGGCGCCACCTCAGACAAAGTGTCAAAACACCTATCATAGTGCTCTTGTAGGGTAACACTAAATACTGGCCAGAGATCGATTCAACTATGAACAGGCAGTACGTGATACTTACTTATAATTCTGGATATTCTCTACTCGCAATTTTGCCACTTCACTCTGTCAAAAGATAAACGGTTTCACTTAGCACGACGATTTACCCAGGTGTTAAGACTATTGGCAACATGACTTTTTGATAGTTATTTCGTTCGATAACTTTAAAGTTTCACCTTTAGGGCACTTGTTTCCATCTCAAGTCTTTTACGCCCTTCCTTTGAGGTCAATTGAGAATCTCTGCGTGCGAATTGAAAGAGAAAAATTAGGTGTGCGAGAGGACGTTAACCAAACTATGTCCAGTTATCTAGGGTGCACCAAGTAATTCTTATATATGCAGCCGACCCCTTCTCTCAATCGAGAAAACTGAATAGCTGTATACTTAACAATTATTCCACGAGCGCGCGTTGGATATATAGAGGATACTACATGGCCGCTTTGGGATACGAATTTTATCTTCTCGTGCTGAAAGTATCTCTCACTCGTTCGCTGCGCTCACTCGTGAGAGATACTTTAAGCACGAGAAGATAAAATTCGTATCCCCAAGCGGCCATGTAATGTTCTGTTTATTATATAGATACTGATGAAATTTTCACACAAAAGACAACGCGCCTGAGCGAGTTGCGAAACAGCAATTGGGTAATTATGTTGGTAACCATGGCCACACCAATATCCTCACACGTGAAAGATAAAAATAGTATCTTCACTGTGCGCGGTGAAGATATGATTTTTTAGTAAAAGGAGAAATCCTGGTATCTCATCAGTATCTATATAATAAGAGATGATAGATAGCCAACGAGGCGCTACGCGAGTGGAATAATTGTTTTATTTAAAAAAAACGCCCCCAAGATATTAGACAAATCTTCTCGGCTTTATATTTGTAAGAAGAAACCGGATGCTACAATGTACAGATATTAGATTATGGTATATTGGCTCATATACCATAATGGCTAAGCCAATAAAAAGTCTTGAATTGCATTATCCAATGATCCAGTTTTTAAAAATAGCATATAGAATAACGGTTTTATTATGCAGGCCCTCGTTATAAGCCCTTCTGCACAAGCGCTCTTCGTCCACGGAACTAGCCTTGAGCAACACGAGCCGGCGAGAGGTTTGCAAGGGTGGCTAGTGACAGACCCCCCCCGGCAAACTTCTCCGACTTGTCTCGAATCTTCATGCATGCGGAGAAACGCACGTTCTGCAGCGTTAAATACAGGGGCCTTTTCGCTGGCTGTGTCTTTAATTGAAAGAAGAAAATTAGTAATTTGAATCAATTCTTGTTTTAAAGAAACTCTTAAACTAGAGAACGCCCTTTTTATGTAAATATGAATTTCAAACTTGGTTGTTCGTCCACTTCTAGCAGAATTAATCATTTCTTAGCCATAAAAATGCAGCAGGAGACTTACTGGATTTTAGCCAAGTCACTATGAATTGTTCTTTTCTTGGACTCGATTTGCTCCCTCAAATCCTATTGAAAAAAAATCTTGATATATATACATATTCATGTAGTCCTTCAGTTAGTGGAACTCTCAGGCCAACAAAGGTGCACCGCGCCAGGAGGATCAATAAAGATTCGCTGTCCAAACCTCACAGCAAACACGAACGTGGAAAGTTTAAAAATTGCGAGGATGGACAG